TTACAATTAAAAGATTTACAAGAAAAATATGGTCTTATATGAATCTTTATAGTTAAGGAATTAACAGAAAATTAGCAGAATATGCTGTTAAAAAATATAGATCTCATAGAAGAATTCCAGATGAAATTATTAATGAATTGAATAAAATTAATTTTAATTAATTTTTAGTCAATAAAATAATTTGTATGTGACTTTCACATAATTATTATATCTACATAAATTTCAGACTGATCAATAAATATTAATAAGTTTAGATATTGTACATTATAGTTTTTAAAATAGTAATATAAATAATTTTATATTTAATTAAAAATAATTTAATAAAATAGTTAATTAAATAGTTAAGTAATTTATTCTTTTTTTCTTTTTATTAATATAAATTTCTAATATATTTAATGATTAAATATTCTTTAAATAATGATAATCAAGTTCTTAATTAAATGATCTAACTTTTTTTCTTTTCAGGCTCTTAAAATAATTCACATAATTTAATTTAATCAATAATGAATTTTAATATGATTTAAAATTATATAATACGATTCAAATCAAATTATATATTAGATAATATTACTTCACTTTAGTAAACTCTTTAAAATATTTGAAAAAAATAGATTACTAACATTAATATTACTACATACTTATTTGTTAAAAATATGATAAAATCATATTTAAAATCTATTTTAAGCTTGTATTTGATAGAAAAGATCAGATAGTAATATTATATACAATTGAATAGTAGATCGCAAAGTTTAAATTAGATCAGAAAATCCTTAAAGATGAATCTTATTCTAAATATTCTCATGAAGTCTTCACATCAGAAATAATTTTTCAGATCAGAAAACTTGTGACTAAGAATAAACATATTATAATAAGAGAGTTAGCTAATCTTATCAATATATCCCAAGAGTAAGTTAGTTATATTCTTAATAATAAATTATTTATAAGAAAAGTATGTGCAAAATGAATATCACATTACTTGACTGAAGAAAATAAGTGTAAATGTATTGATCTTTTCCAGGAGCTTCTAAACTTACTAAAAAATGATTGTCATAATATCATAACTGATGATGAAATATAAATTTATTTTTTTACAATATCTAATAAAGAAAATAATAAAGAATAAGTAAAAAAGAGAGAAAACAGATCTCAAATCATTAGAAATAGTAAGAAATGAATATTCTGTATATTTTTCTCTGATAATAGAATTGTAGCTAGTAAAGTAATATCAAAAAGAGATTATTATGAATGATAATCTTTATATCAAAGAGATGTTGTCAAAAGTTTTTAAAAATTTCACAAAAAAAAGAGGAAGATAAATAATATGAAATATGATACTTCATTATGACAATATTATATCATATAAAACAGAAGCTATTAATAATTTTCTGAAAGAAAAATATATTATTTTATTGTCCCAATCTTCCTATAGTCCAGATCTTGCTTTACATAACTTTTTTTTATTTTTAGAAATCAAAAAAAAATTGACTAGATGGCATTTCAACCAAATTAAAAATCTTGCACATGCTATAAAATTAATTACTGATAATATTAAAACTAATGAATATGAGAAATATTTTCAAGATTGGCAGATTTGTCTCAAATATTGTATAGAAGTTAATGAAAAATATTTTGAAGGAATATATTAATTTTATTATTATTTTGTAATTAAATTAGACTAATAAAAGTATGATAATAAAACTTTTTAGTATTTATATACATGAATTATCAATATAGTTTTATTTTTCTGATAACTATTACATCATATATACTAATTAAAAACTTATAAATCTGATGTAAGTATTATATGACAAGATTTTAATAATAATCTGATTATAAAGTTATAAAAAAAATTCATCAACCTTTAAAAATATTCAAATTAAAATAAATAATTTTTGTGATAGTTACATATCTTGCTCACAAGTTATCTAAACTTGGAAATATCTAGAGTATTATATTTGAATATTACTTTTTCTAATAACAAATCTGTATTATAAAGTTTATTAAAGTAAATATTAAATAATTATTGATAAATCTTTTGTATTATTAGAAAAGTTTTTATATTTTTAATAAAAGTTAATATTTCTTTCAAGAAAGTAGAAATTAACACTTGATCTATATTGATTAAGATATATATTTTTTAAACAAGATCCATCAAATAAAAGTCTATTTTATACTTTATAGAAGAAAATATCCAAGTTATTCACAAGAAGTTATATAAGAAAAAAAGAAACTTATAATTTTTCTTACTGATACATTAAAAATCTAGTATTTTTATGTCAGTATTCTTGTCTATGACTGAATCTAAATAGTTTTTTATAAAGATACCAACACAAATTAGATTATTATAATTCTTATAGTAACTCACTAAAAAAATGAAACATGAAAAAAAAATAGTAAGCTTCAAATATCTCATTATTAAAGAATTATCAAAGATCAAAAGTGAATTTTATTCATTAAAATAATCACAATGACTTAATATAATTTTTATTTTTATCTATCTTTTGAAATTAAACTAACTTGAATTTTTAATTTTTTTTAGCATTCTATCTATTATAACTGATCTGAAAAATAATATTTAAAGACAAGTTTCTTCTTAAGGAAATATTAGCTATTATTAAAAAAATTATATTACATATTGCTAAACTAAGACTATTATTTTATATATTCATTTCTTGTCTGTATTACATCATTAACCCTTTCTAATATTGAATTGATTAACTTTTTACAAAAGATAATTTTGATACTTCTTCAAGCAATTTATAGCTTTTTTTACAAATTAGTTTTATCTAAAAGTGAATCAAAAAGATTTTACAAGTATCTGTCAACTTTATTTCATAAATTTTTGATTAAATTTAAATCAGAAAACTGGATGAGTCAATCAAGCAAAATGATGTTATTATTCTTAAATCATCACTTGACTTTTTCAGATATATATTTTAAATTGTTATCTTACTAAAATATGAATTTACTATCTTCTAATATTTTCTTATAAATTATATCTAAGAAATTATTATTTAATATATCAACATAGATATCAATATTCATTTTGCCATTGATTTTTTGAAGTTCATCAACTTCATTAACAATTAAATAATCCCAAATCATAATGAAATTGCCACCAAATTTTATGATTAAAGTAATATAATGATCTTTTAATTGTTCACAAGACTTCTTTCAGTATCATTTGCATCTATCTGATTTAAATAATTAAAACTTGTTTTTATCAGACCAAATTATTTTCTGCCAATCATTAACCATCCAATCTCAACATTTTTTTATCCATTTTAGTCAGAGTTTTTTGTGTATTTTTTTAAGTAATGACTTTTTTCACTTAATTCTTACGAATAAATCATTTCTTCTAAATATACATCATATACTTTCCACTAAAATTTCAACTTCCAGTTTAGCTTAAAGCTCATATTGAACTTGAATAACAGTTATGCATTTTTCAGATAATATTAATCAGATGATATTCTATTCATAATAATCTGAAAGAATGCATAAACAACCAGTTTTTAACTTATCTTTAAAATTTTCAATTTCTTTTTTATTTTTGCAGATGCATTGGACTGAAGCTAAGTCCATCTGTTTCAATAATGCAATTTTCCAGATTAAATATCCTTCTTGTTGAAAAGTGTATATTCAGGAGCATTTTTCTAGTGAAATACAAGATATTTTGGAATTAAAAAATGGTTAGAATTATTATTTAAAATAAAGAAAAGTATTCTATAGATGTTATAATGAAAAAAGAGCTTTTATACTTATCTTAATAAGCCTGAACTTTTTTGTCCAAATCGATCATATTACATGAAATGCTAAAAAAATTTAAAAAAATCATTAGCTTGCGAAGTAAAAGATAGATGAAAATAAAATATGCATTAAATGATTGTGATTATTTTAATGAATAAAATCCACTTTCTTTTGGTCTCCGATGATTCTTCAATGACGAGATATTTGAATCTCGCCATTTTTTTTTTCCACATTCCGTTTCTTTAGTGAGTCACTGCATATACATTGTTTTTTTCTGAAGGTGAACTGACTTCACCCACGAATATAATACCATTCTTCTGTAGCTGATGTATAATAGATACTGTAAAGTCCGGTTGTTTGCTTCTTCCTTGTAGTTTTCTTGCTTTGCTTTCATAAAAACCCGTATTAGGCCACTCAACAATGTGTTTGTCTGGATTGTGCAACATTTTCTTCATGATATAGTCTAGATGATTTGTAATCAATGTTATCTCACTGGGTTCATTTTTAATCTTCGTCGTGGGTAACGATTTCAAACACTCTAAGAATACGATGCCCAAGTTCTCCTTTAAAATTCGATCATTTGAAAGTTCTGACCACAGCCAATCAGCACACATACGTGACTCTTTTATTGCTTTCTTGGTCGCTATTCTAAACTTTGATTCGCACTCAGAATCTAATTCTATTTGCTGCAACGGGATTGTTTTTTGGTGGATTTCATCAAGTAAAAGAGAACTAAAGATGTCAATCATCGTATTTGAGTGAGATCCTGGAATAAGAAGAAAGATCGATGACAGTGACAATATTTCATGGACGTTTGATTCAACAAGTAACCCACCAGTCTTTGCGATCTTTAACGACTCATTTTGATACTGCCGGAATAACTGAGACACATTAGTATCTCCTATTTTAAGGTCATTTGCTGGGTCCCCTTCTTCGAAGCATAGTTCGTCTACATCATCAATAATTATGACACCATCCTCGTCCTCATACTCGATGAACGGATTGTCAATCTCCCTCCTTGTCTTTATCCTCGACCTCTTATCCTCAATTAACGGATTATCCAATGGCAATGAATGCAATTTTGGACCGCATGGTGACGGTGTAGTTTCTCTGTCTGGATGTGGTTTTTTTATCATACGTTCCTCATTATAATCGATGTTTCGTCTTTTTCTCAAAAAATAATTACTTTGGTTGGATACTGACTCGTCCTAGATGATAAAGGAATTCATAAATGTTGATGTGCTCCAAAGTTAGCACAAAGGCTTAACATAAACTCGGAGAGCACGAATAAAAATTGTTCTTACTATTTCAGGCGGTTCTGTCGACTTTTCCGCATAACGCGATGAAAGTTTCAGTGTATTGAAATCGCCAGACTTCTTTAAAAGTTTACATCCATTCCTATCGAAAGACCTTTCGAGATCCCTCTATAAATGATAGATTAATATTTGCAGTAGATTGATGAACCTGTATAATGCAAAAGCAATAAATCATTTACCTCATCAAACTTCTGGTCTAAACTCAAAAAATTCAACAATCTCTCTTCTTTTGAAAGTCTCTTTGACGTTACTATATAATTTTTTGGCTTTTTTCTTCATCCAAACACGTGTAGTAACGAGCTCACTAACTCTCAAAAATGCTCTCGTGATCGCGTCTAAGATATCTTCTTTACTATCGGAGGTAAATTGTATACGATCTTTCAGATATTCAAGACAGCTCAAAACACTCCAGTCGTTAGGATCAGAGTCGCTTATATAGTCGGAAATATAATGATCAAAATTCATTTCTAAATGAGTGATATATATGAAAGATAATTGTAATGAGTGATGTATATGAAAGATAATTGTAATAAAAGTAGAAATTATTGTAATTGCTACAATATAGTATATTGAAAAAGAAGGCCGGGAGTGGACACTAAAAGCCGTTACAAGCAATGTGACGAGTCATAGTGGTTATCCCACAACGCTCTAATCCAAGCATCGGTCGCAGGGCTGAACCTAACCTAACGAGCGTAGGATACCGCAAATGTACCTTTCTATTGTCAATATGAAAAATTACTTAACTTGAGTAAGATATCTTCCTAGGGTGAAATAAACGCCAAAAAAACAAATAGATATGATAATCGAATTCGCGATCACATGATGTTACCCAATTTTCAGATATATAATAGAGTTCTGTATTTACTGATAGATTTGTAATTTACTGATAGATTTGTAATTTACTATCTTGATATACAGTGGCAATCAAAAATAATGCAACGCTTAAATTTTTTACTAATTATAATTAGTAAAATACGTATTTTTTCT